GAGCTGTCGGATAACTGTTATGAAAGCAAACTTACCTTACTGAGCCTCCAACTCCAATTTCCTTTCACTTAGTGTTGCCTCCTTGGGCGATTATTACTATCAAACAGTAGACAGCCATTAAAGACTGGAACAGAGGAGAGTACATCTGCAATAATCCAGTCTGACTGTACTACTGTATTGTAGTTCTCCTTCACATGTTGAAATAATTATAAAATGAACAAATGCATCTAGGATGCAAATTGATTTAAAACATACAGTATTTGAAATAAAAGATTGAGTCTTTCCTGCTTGGCATTATAATCACACATATCCCGAGAATATCCAAACAGAAATCCCAAATGCACAAGCAATTGCATGGGAAAATTGGGGCTTTTATTTTTGATGCTTTGACATTATGATCCAAAATATCCCAAACTGTTCACCTTCTCGCTCTCTTAGTATACACTAAGTGTCTTAGATTTGTACTTTGCCACTGAGGCATCCAGTAAAACCTAAATCTGTCTGACTCATGATTGCCCTCTGGTTTCTTCCCAAATACCCCAAGGCCATGGTTTTGTGCCATACCCCAATTCTCTGGCACATTCCCCAAGCTGGGAAAAAGAGAATTCCAGATAAATGAAGAACATATTTTGTTTTCTTTCCCCTAACCAGAGTTGTGGAGACAGAATGCTATCTGAAATGTGACTGTGTGTGGTTTAGCGGTCACATGATGCATGCATGCTTTCAAGGTATCACCTTGTTTTTTTACTGCTAAGGAGGTCTGGTGAATCTGATGTTGCATTGAGAGCCTAAATGATCATGAAGGCTGTTCATGCTAATATAGATGTTGATGTATAAATATAAAGTATAGGTGCACAATCTCCGTGGTACGTTGGTTTGGCCTAATAACGGATCAAGGCAATAAAAATGGATGAGGCATGAAACCTTATAGCCAGCTTCATTTCATTAGGTTTCCCTCACTTGAGCCTCATTGAATTATGTAACGCATTCAACTAATTAAATTGTTTAACTCTTGTTTATTATCAATGCCCTAAAAACCCATTCTTGAACCACCGTGTTCCCCAGCAGGAAACTTCCAAAATCCCTGTAATAATTTCACAGAATTATATTTAATTTTCTTTGGTATTCTCCCTGTTTTACCTCAAGAAGTCAGACATATGGTACACATTTTAGCATACAGTATCCACTGTACAGTACAGTATGTCTACTTTCTGCCTGCCAACATGTGCTTGTGTAGCATTGATTATAGAGCAGCAGTGGTAAACTAATCACGGTGGATTCTCAGCTTATTTGTGAGACATGAGGGAATGTAATACATTTCAGGAGGATTCCAGCTGCCACTCTGTCCTGTTTTTGTTGGCCTCCTCATGTTTTATTAGAAAAGTTTCGGGGTGCGCAAAGCCTTGGGATTTGCAGCGTCATTACCCCTGTAGTGCTGGGAAGCAACAGAGGTAGCGAGCGTGGAAACAATAAACAGGTGGCATTAACATCTCAGAGGCTGCAGATATGTAAGCCTGTTAAAATGAACAAGAGGAATGTAACATCGTTCTTCAAATCTGATAACGGTAAAAAAGGAAGTGAAATTTAAATGGGATGCAAAGCCACTGATACACAAAGAAACATAGACTTAAGTCACACTACCTGCTCTTTATTTGTGTCCTAAAGTCTTAAAACCAGGTAGACATGTTTTACCCTCTGTATAAGTGGGAAAGATCTAATTAGTTATGGCAATACTGTATATGACAGGTCACCATTGCCCAAACTTAAAAAAGCCAGCCATGAGGGCAATCATTCCCTGACAGATTTTCAGTTTCTTCTACTATTTCACCATTCAAAGCTTAACCCTTACTAACCTTTGCTTCCTGGACCTGAATATGTAACATACCAGACGCGTTTCTTCTGTATGTGAAGAGGAGCAACAGGGGAGACTCTGGTGAAACTATCTATGGCTGAGCTCAACTTTCCACATTTAAGAATATCATCCTTGATTAGGATTATTGTTCTAAAGTCAGCGAGATGCCTCCATTATGAGTAACAGCTGATGCCACAGATTTCCTGCTCTGTGGTTGCTGTTGAGGAGCAATTGGTTTAGCAGGACTGATGATTACCATCCACTGGGAAAAGTATGACCTGTGGGATGCCTAACAGTGAGTGGTATTGAGATGTATGCAAGATCCCCACTGTGCCAGCATGAAGGCCTTCCAAAGAAAAATCTAGATGTAAAATGACAATCCAAATTGGATTATAGGGTTGGAATTTAATTTCAGATCCATACAAAATATGGGCTACGTGTTTAAAAGAGTCAAACCCATGATCTTCAAAAAAAATATCCATTCCAAGATACTGGTGATCATGGAGTTGTTTTTTCATGTTGCATAAGGACAAAAGTATATGTGGTTCGCCAAAATGATATGCATAAGGTCCAGCTACTTATGATATAAATGCTCTGCAGGAATGGCTGCTAAACCATAAACCATTGCAAAAACACAAATGCTAGAAATCGACCTCAAAATAAAAGCTTGCTGAAAGGTTGACCCCTGATCGGCACATATGGTTTAATCGATTATTAAGGCTTCAGAAACAGAGTTTTGGGTGGGCAGGGAGTGAAAACATTTGTAATGCTTTGATGGTGATGTAAATGGAAACTACTGGCAATGAAAGCAACAGCAAATTATAAAGGTTAATGCTGTAATTGTATGCTATATTCTGTTAAATGAGATCTGATAGTTTTTTAAAGTGGTTTGCTGCAATGTTTTTATCTGCAAATTAAAAAAATATTGAAATACTATCAGCAAATTAGTCACGTCTTACATTGCATTTTCAAGCTCAAAATGTTCTGGGCTTGTCACATTGTATTTTTTGTGAGCTGAAGATAATTGGGTTTGGGCAAATATCAATCTCAGTTATAAATCCCTAACTTACCACAGTTTGATATTTTGAATGACTGCTACAATCACATTCTTGTTTTTCCCAACAGGCAATCATTAGACATGTACAGCTAATCTGGAGGAGATGGAAACATTTATTAACAATTTTCTGGAGACTGAATTAACACATGTACATCTCATCTGCAGAAAACATCGTCAAAGAAAAGATGCCAGAGTATGCTTTTCTTGTCTGAGGCCCGCCCAAGCAGATGCTGATGAAGTTTGAAAGAAACTGTGCCATTTTACAGCCAGCTGTTTTCGATATGAAACATTATTAGCGTTGCCATAATTCACTAGATTTTCTTGTCTGTTCTTAATCTTTGTTAGAGTTCGAAATAATACTAAAATTCCTATTTGACAGCAGATAGAAAGTCAGTTCTTCTAACCATATGTTATGTTTTGTAACTGGTGCAATTTGTGAAATGACACAACTTAATTACTTGATTTTATAGTTTATATTCATCACAGGGACGTTTCGAGACTAGGTTTTGACTCAGCTACAGTAGTAGAGCGATCCCACACACTGCTGAGAAGCCTGGCCTATGTTCTTTCTAACTGACCCAAACAAATTCAATTGAAAGCCCCTTTACCTCAAAACTGTCCTGATTATTTATGTCAGAGTCTAAAGTATGGTTGATTGTTTGAATAGTGGAGGAGTGCTGAGGATGTTAAAAAGGCAATAGGTACATAGGAAACGATAATATAACCCATTTATTTGGCTTTGCACAGGAATCTGACTCGGGTGCAAGCTCCTTTTACAGAATTTACATCAAGGGGTTAAAAGCAATAAATGTACGTTTTTTTGGATAGGCCTATATATTGAGCTGTAATTGTGCTTTATCATTCAGAAATATGGCCTTTATCTTCAGCGCATGAAGATTTGATCACATAACAATAACCAAAGGATCATTGCGATAATTTACCATTTAATTTCCTTCATTAAAGTAAAGAAACACAAACATTCAATACAATCTATCAACCATTAGGTAATAGGTAGGGTTTGGTATGCAGGGCAGTGTGGTCCTCAATACGTCGTTGAGGGTCTTATATAACCCTCAGAGATCAAAGGTATCATGATCCATCTCTCAAGAATGTTTGTTCCATAATCCTCTTGTCTATGTAAATTGCTGGGGGCATTAACTGGACCAAAAGTTCAATGTTTGCAACATGAAACCAAAAATATTTCATTGTGTTCTTTTATTTGTGGATCACATTTAGATTTAAATATTTCAAAACTATAATAGTTCGATAATTGTACCATTTGTGTTGATTTGATGTTTACCATTTGTTTATTTTGGTCAAATGGTAAATGTGTCACATATCACATAAGCCAGTGGGAATTAGCATTTGCAAAGTGATGATAGATAAAAAAACAAAAAGGATTGGCAATCAACAAGTTTTAGCTGATTTTGACCTACAGTAAGGCCCATTTAGCAACCAATTCACATATCAAACAAACAAACAAACAAACAATCAATCAATCAATCAATCTGATTGCTGATATCTGTTGACATGAATAATATATGAGTAAATAAGTAGATGTGATAATTGTGTTTATTAAGCATATACAATGTAATGCTCAAATCATAACCTAATACAATTTTTTAGACATTATAATGAATCAACATTATGCTACACATAAAGTTTTGGCGCCACTAAGTGGTGGATTTATTGTAAAGTTGAGGGAAGATAATATGTTTGCCAGTGGTCTTACTGTTAACGCAATACTTTCGCTCTAACGGCAAACTTCCGGGAATTGTAATTTCTGACGGAAGACAAACTTATTTATTTTTAAAATATGATTACTTTGTGTGATGTGTGTTTGCTATGAATTTAGCAGGTCACCCGTTGGCTTTCTACGGTAAGCACATGAAGACGTGGACCCTCTGTCAGAGCCCTAGAGAGTCCAGACTAGAGTCTAGACTAGAGACTCTGCCCTCTGTCATTTGGTGATGGTTGCCATGACAACAATTGCCAAACAACGCATTGAGACGAGCTAGCTTCATTGCTAGATGTTACTTATCATTAATTACGCATATTCTTGTAATATAAACCTAGTCTTCTAATATTTCATAGAGTGCGCCTCCATGTCAAAGTGTAAGGTAAGCAGAAAGAACTATGTGTACGCTTTGTTGTGTTGTAGGCTTTTATTTAACTGATGTTAACTTATTATTGTTAGCTATTTGTGTGATTGACTTAGCTAAGTTCCAACTAGCGTTACAGAGCGTTACAGAGAGTTACTGCTTATCCATAAATTATTTAAGCGTTAAAGTAGTGATAGGACTTAAGACTATAGCCTACTTGTATTAAAAAATTAGAAAGTAAGTAGGTTAGTAAGTTATAAGCAAACCAGGAGTTGCTTTTTGGAGTGTAGTTTGCAGCTTAAAATTGTAAAATCGTTTTTTTACAAGTTACCCAAAACAACCTGGATGAAAGCTAAATATGTTTTTGCTTTTTTCATTCTTGCAGACATCTGGATTCAAAGGGACAAATGATTATGGCAAAAGTGAGGAGCGGTGAGTGTTGTTCTTAAGTTGGCTGTCAATGAACAGTTGTTCAGTGTATTTTGTTGTACAGTATAAAGAAATCTGAATATACTCAAAATCCTGATTTTAGAATACCTTTATTTGTCCCACATAGGGAAAATTTTGTTGAAGAAGTAAATGGCACGGAAAGGAAAGACTGAAGGAAAATAAAAGTATTTAGAAATCAAACTTACTTAAAGTACATGAGTAAATGTGCCTAATCACATTCCTCTGGTGCATAACACTAACCAAACCTCGAAAGTACTGGTAACAGTGGCAATGTTACACTTCAGGGAGGGAAGGAGTTGTGTACGTTACAAGTGTGGCCTACTCAACACCATACAGGTTGTCCTGCGCCAAAGACCCGGTTGGGTTGAAGTCAAAGAGTAAGTAGTGTTATTTTAACTGTCATTTGACTTATTCAGTCATATTTGTGGTTCGAACATGGCATCACGTTTTTTCTCACAGTGAAGGTGAGTGGGACTTCAACTGGTGTGATGTGGGCTGGCTAAGGGAGAATTTTGATCATTCATACATGGAGGAACATGTGAGGATAAACCACTTTCGCAATCATTATGAGGTGAGCCAGCTTCAGTCGAGCATGCTTTGAGACTATACGTTTTAGATTTCAACATTAATATTCTTTATCATTCATATTATCAAATGCCATGACGTCTTTTTCTGAGTTTTCTGAGCTTTTGTTACAGCTGACTCGCAAAAACCTCATGGTGAAAAATCTCAAAAGATATAGGAAAAATCTTGAAAGAGATGTTGGCTGCATGGAGGCATCCAAATGTGAATTCTTCCCCTGCACTTTTGCACTGCCAAGCGAATATCATCTGTTTGTAGAGGAATTCAAAAGAAGCCCTGGTAGCACCTGGATCATGAAGCCGGTAAGCTAGGCAACAGATTAAATCTAGTGCAATAAATATGATCTTTATTATCATCAATTCACCATCAAAATTAACTAGCAATGTTATTTAGGTGGCAAAATCGCAAGGGAAAGGAATTTTTCTGTTCAGGAAACTGAAAGACATAATGGATTGGAAGAAGGTACTGTTTATTTATTACATAAAGGCATTTGCTGTAAATTAAATTACATCCACATAATTCAGATTGATAATTTTGTGTTAACACAGGATGGCACCCGCTCAGAGGAACAGAAGGATGCAGCTCAAGTGGAAAGCTATGTGGCACAACGCTATATAGAGAACCCTTACCTAATAAATGGTAATAAACTTAATGAGAAATGCACTTTTATTCTAAAAATAAATGAATGTTAATTAACGACGACTAAAAAATGGACAAGGAAAGGGGAATTTAGATTTATATCCCTGCTTACTTTTTTTGCTTTTGTCCCAACAGGCCGGAAATTTGATCTGAGGGTCTATGTGCTGGTCACGTCAGTAAGTACTGAACCTTGTAAATCATAATGTTTTATACAAAATATAAATGTTGCTACATACATGAAACAGTATGCATGTGTTTTAGTACGTTCCCTTGAAAGCCTGGCTGTATCGAGATGGCTTTGGCCGCTTTTCAAGCACCCGCTTCTCCCTCAGCAGTATTGATGACAAGTGTATCCTTTTTTAATAACATTTATGAATCCTTCATGTGAATGTTGTTTTTTTATGATCAATTATTTATTTCTAAATGTACGTGTAAGGGAGGAGAAGCACAATGACAGTCATAAAATGAACATAAGAAGGAGCGTCATGCTACCGTTCAATTTGCATTTCATTTAAATGTATATACACTTGTGTGATATTATTAGTCAACCCTTAACTAGTTTTGAGCTTTTGTCTGATGAAATATTTAAGCAAAGTCAGCTTTAAATAGCCTGGGTTTGACCCAATTTCTAAGGCAGTTGTTCCTAATTGTGTCGCTTTAATCCACGTCCCCATGGAAAGTGTTACTAAGTCATAAAAGTTCCCAAATTCTTCTTAGCGCCTCTCTTCAGATATGCACCTCACCAATGTGGCTGTACAGAAAACAGCACCAGATTATGATCCTGAAAAGGTTTGTGATTCAAGAAGCTCAGAAAATATGTAACAGATTGTGTTTTCATGGTATGTGTATCCATATGTTTTAACTTTGCTAGATATTTTTGTGGTTCAGCAGGAATGCATGCGTTTGGTACCGTGGTTAATAAAAGATTCTAGCTGCATATTTATGTATTCAATATCCTGTTTATTCTGGCATTTCTTTGTCAATCTCTAAATAGGGATGCAAGTGGCAGTTGCAACAGCTTCGAAGATACCTCACTGCAAAACATGGCAGAGAGACAATAGAAACCCTGTTCAAAGAGATTGATAACATCTTTGTCCGCAGTCTTCAGAGTGTTCAGAAAGTCATTATAAATGACAAACACTGCTTTGAGCTCTATGGGTATGACATTCTACTGGATCAGAACCTCAAACCGTAAGTGCTCCTTTGGTCTTACAAAGTGAACCTCCACATCATCACCTACACAGATCCCCTTAACAAACATGCACAAAGGGATTCATTATTGGAAAGTTAAAGCACAGACAAGCAAATACAGCACACGTTGCTTTGTTTTTCTTGATACTCAAAAACAAAGCAGTAAATCTTCTAGTGTTATATAAAATACCTCGTAAATCTGTAGAGCGTATCAAAAAAAAAAGAAGTATGCAATTATCCTGCTGTGAATTATAAAACGCACCAGTGGCAGTATCCCTCTCCAGTGGAAATAAGGATACATACATTCATATGAGTTCTCGTGGAATGAGGTAATGTCTGCTCGAAAGTCTATGTTTTGGTGAATAATATCATCCTCTATCTTTTTGCAGGTGGTTAATAGAGGTGAATGCTTCTCCGTCACACACACCCAGTAGTCAAGAGGATTATGAGATGAAGTGCAGTCTGCTGGAAGACACTTTAAATGTTGTTGATATGGAGGGAAGGTAAAGGCCACCTTCCCATTCTGTGTTTGCCTTTTTGTCATTAACATGTAACCCTGGGTTCTCTTTCTCTGCATGCATTATAGACATCACTTTCTATTTTGTTATTCAACTGTCTATAAACCTTTGGAAGGGTAATCTTGGTAGGGTGTTGTATATAAAAGTAAAGAATGTGGGTGCAAAAAAAACTTCCCTCAGATCACAAGATACTGCACAACACACGATAAGATATGTTTCTTTTAACACACTGGTGCTGCTTTCTAATCAATTCGTTTTTTTCCCCCTTCAGGCTCACTGGCAAGGAGAAAAGGGTGGGAGGCTACGATCTGATGTGGAATGATGGGCCTGTCTATAGAGAGGACGTCAATCTAGGAACATTTGGCAGTGCATGTTTCTCTGCCAACACACACCTAGGTAACCTGCCAAAGCAAATGTTACAGGCAACAAATGTCTCAATTTCTTCAGATTATAAAAAAATGTACAAAGCATTCTGCAATTAGGACATTTGGCATTGGATCATGTTGGAAAGCCTCTGTTGCGCTATGATAACATACATATTCATGCTGCCAATATATACCTGTTGTTTGTTGCAGGGTGTGTGAATGACAGGGAGAAGCAGCTGCGGCGGCTCCTTAAACCATTTCCAGGCCAGAAAAGGATGTAACACACTCATCATTTTTATGTCCCACCACTTTACCAACTTTAGTCATATTCATAAAAAGTTAACTCTCTGTGATGAACTGATCAGAATCCATCCAACAAGGTTGACATTTAAATATGAAAATAAATTAAACTTGCCATCATTTAAGTTAAACTAAGCCCTATTAAGTTTGGGATTTTAACAGTGTGCATGTGTTCCAAAGAATGGCCAGTGAATGAAAATCCCTTGAGTGCAAAACATTTATTTCTATGCCTTACAAATAATTGCATTCAACATTGAGAAAATACATACCACAATCTTTCTGCGTGCGTGTCAGCATAATGTACACATTTATAATAACATCGCCCCTTGTAGCCTCTTATCTATGGCTTTGATACTTTACATGAATATTAAGTAAAGAGGTGCAATCTGAATACATATTGTGTTATTTACATTGATGTGGTGTTCCCATGGATCAAGTGCACGTGGTAAATCACAATGAACAGATAAGAGAATCTAATGTAAACACAGTGACATACAGACTTCAAGTATGCAGTGTGATATAACATTACCATGTTACAGCATAACAGCTATGATGTGTTGAAATCACATTGAATCTCAGGGATGAGCAATGGTACGGCACAGTAGACATTAAGTATACATTCAGCTCTTTGACTACATCTTTTTTTTCTTTATGTGCATGACAATGTAAACATAACAATGCTAATGATGAATACAAGTCAGCCACAACACTTTTCATAAATATAACTATGGTATATAAAATTTGGAAAAATAGGCATTTACATTCGTAGCAAACATTACACTTTCTGTCAGAGAGAGCTCAGCTCAATGCAAAATACACTTTATCATCATGGACTACAATTCAAGCTGTTGAACATGAGAAGCCCTTGTAACAAAAAAATCAAACCATTGCACAAATATTTCTGAAACAAATAACAGCACGGCATTACACCACCACTCAATGTTCGTCCTTCTTTTCAGCCAAAGATGCTTTAACCGTCTTGTAACATGAGGCTCCAAAAAAACGAAATAAATGCCACATCAAGTAAAGTAAAAGCCTTACAAACAAATACATCCCTACATCACAGACTCCACTAGTTACCGCTATGGTTGCATTTGATGACTTGAATGTAATGATGTGTTAAACTTCACTATGGAATATTTATGCTGAGAGTTATCCTATGGTAGAGTAGTTGCTTATTTGATGCCTATTGAACATGAGTAGTATACTTAGAGATGATGATGTGCAGTGCAGCAGAGCTCAATTTACATAAAAGCTGTTATTTAGGAATCATAGTAGTGCTTTGAGTCATAATGAGCCTTCTGTCAAAACACAGTAAAACATTATGATTGTATACTTACTGTACATTTTGAATGAAATACAGCGTGTATATTCTGTTCTATTTGAGTATTTTTCTTTGAAATAAATGCTGTTTTTATCTCTTTTTATAGCAGCTGAACCTCTTGTTAGTTTTGACCTTTATAAGGCTGTACACCACTGACTGGTTGAGACTGCTGTTCAACAGTTACAACATGTTAGTATAATACAGATCACACAGAAAGCAAGCATAGGTTCAAGCTCCTGTACCAAGTAACCTCTAGTAAATAAAGCACTATGCTGTAGATGTATAGGGGTTACTTTGCAACAAAGTGCACATTTTTTGTTTTGCCATTCTGCTTACTACTAGCGGAGGATTTGGAGAGGGACTGCGGCTCTTTAGCAGCTCTTTTCATGGCGGTTTTAGAGGCTTGACCTACAGCCTCTGTCCTCTGCCAGTCCTTCTCCACTCTCTTGGAGGTTGTGACCTCTCTCTTACTTGGAGCACCAACCTGTTTCTCTGCACCAGCTGCTTTGCTGCCACCCGGCTCTTTTTTCAAATCTGTCTCAGAGTTAGCTCTGACACGGCTTTTCCTCACTTGACCTTTGCTGTTCGGGTTAGTTCCAGATTCCTGGGGTTGCTTACGAGCATTGCCTGCGGCCTGCATGTTTCGGAGATGACTCCTTCCACCTGAGGGGCTAACTGGGGTCTGGGCTCCTCCCCCACCATTTCCTCCCCCACCATTTCCTCCACCTTGTGCTCCAGGGCTCCTCCCTTCCGTTGAGGTTGCTCTGGTCTCACTGCTGCTTCTTTTAGCTGGTGCTCCAGGTCTGGCTTTACGCTCAAGCAGTGGACTGAGCCTTGAGTGGCGTTGGTAGGCATAGGCCGAGCAGCTTCCATTGCACAACGGGTAGCGGATATTACAGTGAGGGCAAACTGGAAAGCGGGAGTGCGGTTGCTGGGCTGAGGCAGGTGAGGGGGGGTTGTTGACAGGTGTAAATGGAAAGGATCGCTGGCTTTGCCGCAGCCCTTTAGGGGAGTTGAGTCGGGATGGTGGAGCCGTGTGAGGCCTAGCCGGATGAGCAGTGGTGGCAGAGGGGAAGCTCTGTGGCCTTGGGCGACTCCCTGGGACACGGCTGCTCTCTGCTTGCCCTGTTTGGATCTGGAGCCACTCCAGCTGCAGCAGCCTCTCCAAGTACTTCTCGAGGGTCCCTACAGGCTTAGGTCGAGGGGCACCCCGGCCATCCGTATGAAGAAATACTGCCAGCTGTCTCAGGCTCCAGCTGTTAAAGGGAGGAGGCAGAAAGTCTGGGTAACTGTAGCTGGGTTCATCAATCTCATCTTCATCACCCATTGCGCCATGAGGTCCTGGGAAGTCCGGGGGAAAGTCATTACTGTTGATGACCTCAGCCCGGAGGTTAAGATGAGGAGGGGTGCACGGGGTACAGGGAGAGGGCAGCACTGGCAGCCTCTCAGAGTCTGACAGATCACTCGCACTGTCAGTGTCTACATCTTTCTGGTTGTAGTGTCGCTGTAGTGCCTCTGGGGTGGGGGCCGGGGAGTGAGTTAGGGGGTGTGCTGGCATGTGTCGAAGCCCTGATATTGGGGATAGAGGCAGCGAGAGAGCTCGGCGACTCTTCCCCATCCCCCCACGATTCTGGTGTAGGTCATTGCTGCACTGTGACATCCGTTGATTTTCACGTTGCTCCTCTTTTCTGTGCACAGATAAATGTTTGCGGAGGAGAGGTTTCACATCTCCTTCTGCTTCAGGGCTGTAACGAGACAAGCGAGTGTTAGAGAAAGCTGTTGGGGATTTAGAGATGTGTACTTGAGACAAAGCATGCAGTATGAACCAAAACCCTCGCCACACGTACCTGGAGAGTTTGGTTGTATTGCGTGTAGTGCCAGATTTGACCCTGCCACCTTTTGACTGTGTGCCCTATAAAACAATCATTATAGAAATATGTTTTTGCCTTGAAATATATGAGTACATATCCCAGAACACATCTTATACAAGGACATTCATTTAGACATGATCTCTTTTTAATGTACAAGGATGCTGAACACTCACCTTCTGCAGTGTTGTCACTGTGTCCTTATCCTGACCTGGCCCTGGGAGGCCATTTTTCATCTGGCCCACTGCTTTCTTCATCTTGTTACCTTTCTTTGAACTGTGGAAACATGATAGCGGTTAGTCAGGTTCCCCTCTAACGTACGTATGTCTGAGAAATTACACAACACCTTTAGTTTAATCGTAAATGTGTTACTGTAAAATTAGGCTCACCTGGTTACTGGTTCGCTGTTTTCAGTATGTTTTACTCGAATCTTCTCTTTGGAGACGACGCGTTTCAGTGTCGTGGATGCTGTGCGCTCCTGCATGATGGGCCCCATGTTGCAGGTCGCCAGTAGGAATGTTGTTTTGAATCCAGCACTAGCAAATGACACGGTAGCTAAAGAACCCAACCGACATTTCGGATCATACACTCATTTCTGAGGATGGGGCTAAAAACACCCATTTTCTCGAAAGTGCTGCAATGCATCATGCGCAGACAGCCGATGCAGGTTAAAGTCGTCCTTCTATTTGCCGTCGACTCGCCTCTCTGTTGAATTACAATGCAGCGACTGTTTTTAACGACGTGTTGTCAGCAGACGTGCCTCTTTTAAGACTGTCATCCTCCTTGCTATTACAAATGTAAGGCGGTCCGTCTAACAGCACATACGCTTTGTTTGGCTCTCTGTCCCAGTCTCAGATTGGTTTGTTTACCTGCTGCTGACTGGCTCGCTGCTTGGGTCCAACTGGGCAATACAGATGCATTGTGGGAGTTGGAGTGAAGTCAAACTAGCCGCTTTTCCAAACGAAATATCCAAACGCTCTCTGAGGATACTAGTTACTTTTGGAAAATAATGCACAAGACAGGAGCGACAGAGTCAACGCTAGATTTTGGGGGAAAAGAGTTAAACCACTGCACAAAAACGTTCCTTCTGATCTGAAATTACTCAATGTCCCATAACAGTCTGTGACGTTTTGGTCCGTGTGAAGCTTCCTGATAACTGCGCGCATATTAGCTGATCGCCATGGAGGACATGCATATGTGTCTCAGAGTTGGGAAAATGTAAAGCACTTAGATCAGGTAATGTGACTACAGCCAACAGCGGGCACTCTGTGACTCACGGGAACGCGCAGTTCTAACACATACTAATTTTAATGGAGGATCTGACGCTTCACCCTGCAGCTTAGATGTAGCTAACGCTTCATGTATATGGTGAGTTGAGGTTGAGTCTTGTTTTATTAAACCACGTTGTTAAAGGCAGATTGAGTAAAGCGTCAATTTACTGCTCAAAGACAGAAATGGGCTGTAGGTATTCATGCACGTACTCCCAGAGTACACGCCCACTATCTTCCTGACTGTTTCTGTCATATCATGTTAACACAACTGTTCTTTTCATATTTGCAGCACAACAACATATACCTTCATTATTCAATATTGTTACAACTCTGTCATTAGATCATGCTTTGGATAAGAGTGTGTTTTAGGGATGATTGTGACATAATACTAATAAATAATGCTTGACAGTTTTTCTTTCAGGTGAGCAGGACAACATGAAACAGAACATGAAAAGAGGGTGGTTTATTGGACATGAGAGGATTCCCCTTTCCCAGGATGAGACTCCCAGCTCTTCCAGCAGTGTCTCAAGGCCCTGCATTACTATCAAAGTGACTGAAATGCTTCAAGCTGACAAACCTGGTGCTGCAAAGAAGACAATTCCAATCCGCCCCCCGACTCCCAGAGTATCTCTGACAAAAGCACCAGAGCTTCATCGCAGTCTATCCTGCGAACCCACGCCTAAACCCATCATCAGACAGCGATCCCACTCTCTGCCTTCCACCGCAGAGAAGAAGAAGCAATTCAGAAATGTTGGCGTACGGTTTGTTGACTCTTTGGGGCTCGACCTGGAGGACATAAAGCTTTTCAAATCTGCCGATCATCCATCTGTACCGCATCATGTTGCCTTTAGATTGTTGATGGGTGCAGAGTTGGCAGATGGAAAGCATCTTGAGATATCTCTGCCATACTTAAAGCCAGTTTTTGCCCAGCAACCTGGTGACCAGCAAGGATTCCTGCATCGCCTCCATGAGCAAAAAGTGTGCCTGGAGAGAGTCTTGTGTTTTGAACTTTGTGTTATCGGAATCACCCAGGTCCTCAATATGGACTTTGAGAAAGATGTCATAGCTCGTTATTCATTTACAGAGTGGAAGAGCAGCTCAGAAACTAAAGCCCATTGGGTGTCCACCAAAGCCTGGGAAGGAGGAGAGGGTCAACTCACTTGTGATACCTTTCGTTTCCACCTGCCTGTTCCTCCATTCCTGCATCCGGGAGCAGTGTTACAGTTTGCCATTCAATACAAAGTCTGTGGGACTGAATATTGGGACAACAATAATGGAGAGAATTATAAGTTAGTGTGCCATAACTACAAGCTTATTGTGCCCAAAGAATGTGAGGATAGCATGGTGCACTTCATTTAGGGTGGTGACTAAAGGTACAACTTACATTTAGAGCACTTTATGACTTTACTTTTGCCAGATAAACCTATTGTATATGAGTAACCGCTTTTGACATATAATATTAATTTTGGAGACTGCAGGTGATATCTTTGAATCGAATGAGATTCAATAAGAACTGACAACTCTGGACAAACCAAGTCAGGTTGCACACTCATGCACCTGAAACTAACTTAAGTGCCACTGTTATACTTTTGGGGTTCCTTTTTAAAAATTGCACTCTATTATTTGATCTTTGCAGCTGATTTTTAGCCAATAGAAGTGAAACCCACTTAGCAATATTAAATGAATGCATGTCAGTCCACCATTATCTAGCTGGATGTCTGACTTGGATTATCAGTTTATACATTGCAGGAATTTTGTCTGCAAAACAAATTGCTCTGTATTCAGAGTTTATTTTTGTCAAACCAAATGCCATAACCATGCAATAGATTAATCAGAAATGAACGCATATTTTGTTTAACAATAAAGCACAATTCCACATAATGTTCAGCTTGTGTTGATATGTGTAGGGTCTATTATTTCCTGTAGCTTATTTAATAGTCTCGAACATATTTTCCATGTATGCAGGTATGCCATTTAAATTGAAGAGTAAGCATACATAGTGTTGTTTATGTTTTTATTACAGGTTTTAAATGTTATAGGTGTTGACAACGCTGATAAATGATTGTTTAAATTAAATATAAGTTTAGTCATTTCAAAAATTAAATCGTATCAATTTAAAATTAGGGGTAAAATAATAAATAATATTGTTTATTGATGGATCAATACAAAATGTTTGAATATTATAAATAAACAGTGTCATTTAATTTTGAGTACACTTTCCCTACCAAAATACCGTTATGTTTTATGAAAGTCATCCTCGACACACAAGGTACACACACAACTTGACGAACTGTAGAGGTGACTGCTGGGCGACCTTTCTCGCGCATGCGCGACAAATGTAAAAATATTCGCGCGTTTTGCGATGGAGCTATCAAAACTGTCAAACAAATAAAGATAAATAGTCATTAAGTTATGTTACTTGGCGACATTTGACATAACGGTAGGTTACGTTACGAGATAAATCAAATAACTTAATTATTCAATGCCCGCAGAACGTTAACGATGGCAACGAGCGTTAGCTAGGAGATGTTATATTAGCTAGTAGCATTAGCCGCAGGTATCTTTAGATTATACTTTCCCAGAGCAAACTATTGAGTCGTGTAGCCACCATTAGGACAGTATGGTAAACGTCATAGTGGTATAGCTTATGGAAAACGTCTGTAAACAGTAGTTAAATAGCTTGTGTAGGTTTACGTTACTTACTAGCATTGAACAACTGTAAATAATGTAAGCTAGTCAACCTTTAGCTAACTGTTCACTTTCATATCAGCTCGGTTGAGTTTCCAAAGTCACTCGTTCTTAGCTGGTAATAGATTGTTATTACTGTCCATGGAGTTTCATAGATACGACTTACTAGTTCAAAAATTACAGTTATGTACAATAAGTACAATCCTGGCGTTATTATTGACAGCTTGATGCTGATGGTGTATCTTTACAGTGTTTCTGAAGACAGCAGAGGTCAGGTTGCAGTAGCTCTATCTCGGAAGACAACATGGCACCGGCGCAGGACACTCAGGTGGGAATGGAAAACTTTAAAAAAGCTTGTCAACATCCATATCACTTCACGCAATGTCACTTAAATAGTTGTTGTTGCACGTAGTGGTGTAAAGTAATCGTTGATGAACCCTTTTCATGTGCAGTTAGAGAAAGTCGTTGATGAGGTGTTGAAGAGTGGGCAAGTCCAAGCCCTGAATTTATTCTTGCAAAGGAACATTGGTGAGGGGACCACCATAAAATGTTCCCAACAGTTTCTCACCAAGTTGGATAAGCTTGTCAGCAGGGTAAGATGTAGCCCAGCACACTCACTAACATGCCATGGTGATATGTTGTCTGTTTGTTTAATGTAACCACATCTATATTGTTTATGTAGAGTTTGGATGAAAACGATTCAAAGTCAGCCAGTTTGGGTCTCACTATCCTCTACAAGTGTGGGAAAAACCTAAAACGACCTGGTGGTCGTCAGGGACTGTCAGGAATAATCGCTCAAGGCCTGATCAAAAAGATAAGTGAACGATAAAATACAGACTCACACTGTTAGTGCTGTATGAGCTATTGCTTTAGTCAGGTGTATATTAAACCTGTTTTGTGCACATGGTGCAGTGGTTTGAGAAATGCAGGCAACTATGGATCCAGTGTGGCCCAAAGTGGGATGAGACCTTGTTCAACCTCTCTGAGGACTTCTTTGATGCCTTGTTGGTGAGCTGATTTGTTACAGTAAAACATACTTTGTATTACAGAACAATATACCACTCATGTTAGTGTCCATAATGTTAAACTGATTTATTTTTTCTCTGTTACAGGTTGTTCATGAAGCCTGCAAAGAGGGTACGTTTGTACATTTGTAAAATATCTTGTTTTGTCAGTTCAATGAGCCATGTGTAGTATATTCTACTTGTATTATTAAATGTTTAAAAGGTTTATTATTCATTAGTTTAATATTGAAGTCATTGTATTCTATAGTATACCCAACAACGTTCATGATGACAGTTAGTAAGTAACATATTTAGCTGTATCTCTATTCACAGTATGGCTGTCCCCCCTTGTTTTTTTGCAGGAACACATCAAATCACAGAGTCCTTTCTGTATCCTGTTGGTGAATTGGCAGTAGACCCCAGAATCTACATCCTGATCCAAAAAGAGGTTTGAAATGTTTTCCAATAACCAGGTATTTGGAAGAGCATTACAACTGTGGGTCATGTATTTGCTCGTAAATCAACTTGCTTACAATGTTCTGACAGGCAATCCGCAAATTCAACTTAATTCTGGACAAGATCCCTGTGGAGTTTAAGAAAGAGAGGAAGATCCTTACGTCTCAGGATGCCTCAGATATCATGTATGTATTGGGAGTATCATTCATTTTTGCTCTTTTTTCACTATAACACTCAAATGTTTACTTGTTCATTATATTTTGACAGGACCAAGCTGGCTGGTCAGATATTGAAGGGAGGTGGTAAGTAGGAGTTATGCATAGTATCATCGCTCGAAACTCTGGACCATACATAGACACAACAAATGTACAACGCAGTTTGTTTTTGTCAGATTACGACCTGCAGACAGCCCTGATGGAGTCATTGTGCAGAATGGCTACTCCTGGCCAGAGGAAGGAGCTGACTAATCGATGGTTCAGCATGGAGCATGTTGCCAGTGCTTTTGTCAAAATCCAGGATTCTGAGTTTGAGACGGTAAAAGCAATTTATCACCTTTGACTCTCATTTGCATTTACAATCATGAGTGGGAATTATTTCGTATAATATTACAACAGGAGTTCAGCTACACAGAATTTTAATATAAGATTGTGTGATTTCAGGATTGTCGCAAGTTTCTGAACTTGGTGAATGGGATGCAGGGAGACAGGAGAAGGTATAGGAATCCCAGAGCTCAGTAACTCCAAAGACCATTAGAGATAGGAATAATGTAATTGATCTGTTATTTCATACCCTTTACTCTAGCACAGTGAGAGAATGAAAAAGATGTCTTCCTCTTAACTCAGTGATATCATTTACCCATAGAATAAGCCATTTTCTAATTCTGTTCCTTTTTAACTTTATCATTAACCTCTAAATACAAACAGTATTTGGTGAACCTTGACAGAACGAAGTTAGGGAAGACATGCAGTGTCAGATTCACATTTGAATAATATTTGTCTCTTTCTACTACAGAGTGTATTCCTATCCCTGTTTGGAGGTCTATTTGGACAAGAATGAGGTAAGTATCACCAGAATCAGAAAAATAATAGAAAACAATAACAGAATTTGTCTGTCCACGTTTGCCTTCTTGGTGTCATTAACCTTTCTTTTACAATGTAGTCCTAAGTGTATTCACAGATGTGTTGATAGGGTTGTGTTTATGTTGTCAGCTAATGATGCCTGCTGATGAGAAGCTTGAAGAATTTTGGATCGACTTCAACCTGGACAGCCACAGCATTTCCTTCTACTTCTCTTTGGGTGATGAAGAAGCACAGGTACCTCACAAGAATTCCTGAAAGTGATGATCAAAAACGGCAACATTTACAGAATCAACACTAAATGGACAGTGTACGTAGGGCTGCTCGATTATGGCAAAAATCATAATCTAGATTATTTGGGTCAATAATTGTAATTGCGATTATTAAATGCGATTATTCATTGACTTTGAAAACATCAATTTATTGGAGAAAAAAAATGTGAACCGTATGTTTTTAACAGTTGATTACCCTGAACTTCAAGTATAATTCAACTGAAAAAAAAATATATATATATACCGTATATATATTATAACAACCAAAAACAAAGTAATAATAAAAAAAAAAATCGTTTTATTTCGATTACATTGTTTTCGTAATCGTTGCAAGCCATAGTCGTAATCGGGATTAAAATATGATTAATTGAGCAGCCCTAAGTATACGTGTTAAAGCCTAACAGGAACATATGTCCTCTTCATGCAGGAGAGCCAGTGGGAAACAATATGTATCAATGAGAATGAAGTCCAAAGCTACACTGTTAAAGGTAATCAAAGCACAAACTCTACATATTTATTTACTTACCCAGATAGTCAATACATCTGATTTGTATTATGATATTCAATGATTCCTAGATTCTTAAACCATAGTATTTTCATTCATGAAGTAAATTGATAGAAACTAAATAAGCTTAATAGATTATTTAAAAGCACAAAACTTTAGGAAGATGACATCACCTTTTGATTTTGATTTGACTGCAAATGTCTTACATATGTGTGTGTGTGAGAGTTGAGTATGTCTGTGTGTATTTTTATTCCAGAGGAGGGCAAGAGAAAAGTCCTGCATTTGAAGTTGTCGGAGGTGGTGGTCGTGGGTGCGGTGGAGGGCTCCAGCCTCACCATCCACTTCAGCTCCTCCCTGGACATCCTGCAGGCTGCTCGTACGGTTTATGGACACAGCAAGAGCGCAGTAAGTCACGGCTTGTTTACTCCATCTCATTGGCCACAATGTGAATAGGAATATTCTGCTTTCTTTGACACCAAAACACAAAACAGTAAAAGTGTAGTGTGTTGGCAGTATGTATTAACAACCGTGTTTCCCTTGCAGGGATTTGTGGGGAAGTCAGGCATATCTGTAGTCAACACTACGGTTAAAATACAAATGGAAGATAGCATCTCCCAGGTAAACAGTCGTCTGTTATCATAATGCTGTGGACATACAGAAGTCACGATGTATTTAACTGGAGACAGCTGGGGCGACTGCTTATGTGGTCTAAACTATATTCTGCATATTATGTGTTTTTTGTGATCAATGTCGATCAAATTGTCGTTATACAATGTGCAAAGCAGCATGACAGCTTTGATGCATTTGTGTGTGTCTGCATGCTGCTCTCCATGCAGGTTGTTCCAGAGAGTCAGATGTCTCTTGGTGAAAGTGAGAAAAACACTGCTCCTTACTTACCGACCCCAGCTGCACCTTTACAGGTGAAACAGTTTTTTACTTTTTTTGGTACTTAAAAACATAGAGGTTTGTCCAAGACAATCACATTCAGTTCACTGAGCTCATAAAGATAGAAAACAGGCTTTCCAGGTTCTGAAAATAGTTACTATTATATTATCTTCTGATTGGCCCAGGAAAATTAAACTGATGTTTAGATGAAACTGTATTTTTCCAGTTATTACACTTTTTTGTATAGAAGGATTTAATTTTATGTCAAAGTACACAAAATAACACCGCTATGTTCTTCTGCCTTCAGAAGATTACTCACCATTTGTTTTTTTTGGAAAATAAATATAAGGATACTTAAGATGACAAATAGGATGGTAGAGTAGTTACAAATTACATTTGGACCACATTTCTACCATCCTTTACTATAAAGCCACATAAAAAGAAGGCATATTACCAAAAGTGTAATTATTGGTTGAGGTTCTGTGGATCTTCAGCCTTAAAAACTATCAGTCAAGGCCAGTAGGGGGCGTAGAAAGCAAGGGAACCAATCCTTTGGCTGGCCGCTATCCTAGACCTTCTATTCATATTGATGGCAGTATTTCCTTATTTTCATTCTTTTAGTATTCCTGTTATCTTTCATGTGTTTTATTTTAATATTCTTTTATTTTTTTCTTCCAGCTTGTGACTCCTACCAGGAGGAGGTTTTCAGAGTCGACCACCTTCATCTGCAGTGGTGCAGGAGGAAGTGTGCATGATGCTAAGTCCCTCTCTGCGGTCCTGTCATCAAGTATGTGTCAACAAATATTGTCCTGAATTGCTTTCACACCAGTTGATGGAATGGTCCTGAAATGTCTTGAAAGTTAAAAGTTGACATACTTTAAAACGATTCAAATGGAATTGTAAATTGTTGATATACATTTTTTTGTTTTTGATGAAAGTAGAGTTAATAGTACAACATGTAAACATTTATTTTGCATTATATATCCAATCCTAAACTTTGTCATCACATGTTTCTTATTACAGGGCCTTTTGAGCTTTTTCATGTCAAAGACGAATTAGCAGTGACATGTGATCAAGGTTGTAAGATTTAACAGCTATGCATGAGACAGTCATAAAAGATCCTCTTAGGTCACATCTAGTGATAGGTGATGTTAAATCAAAGAAAGATGCTTTCATTCTCTATTTCTTACGTTGTGTTTGTCCACAAAATGTTAAAGCAAGGTTTGTCAATTCAGCTCCAGGACATTGATCTTTTCCCCCCCTACCTTTTAGACACTTCCGTCAAGGGTAAAGGGAAGCCGTCTCTGGAGATGGTTCGTTCGTGTGACAGGAAAGGTGACTCTTACCTCGGAGAGCTCTGGACAACTGCTAAGACCTCCAGTAATGGCACAACACCTAACAGTACAATAACAGCAACAGGTGGCATGACAAAGCAGGTATGGCACGTCCTGAATATTCTCCATGCAAGCCCAAAATGTGATTTTCTTTTTAATTTCCTCTGGTCTGTTTCAGAGTGAATCATCTCAACAGAGCAGAGCTTCCAAACTTTCCATGAAGAACAATGTTGGATTGGATTTACACAAAAAGGTAAAATACCAAATGAATGTTTAAGAGTATTAGTGCTAACCTGCTTTTCAAACATAATCCCTCTTCTGATATGGTGCAAACTATTATCACTCTCCTACATTTGTTGTCTTTCCTTGTCCTACAGAACATACCACTGGCAAAAGCAGTTGAAATGGTTCTAGCTGGACAGGGAGAAGAGCAGTCTCTTGGTATGAAATGCTATACTGACCTAGACGTTAGCTTAGCCAGGAAATACAAATATTGTTGTTCTACCAAGATTCTTGAACCCACCATTGATCTTTTTGCTTACAGATCCTAATTTTGTTCCTGACAGCCAACCCAAAACTGGGAAAAACCTGTAAGAACTGTAAAAGTCCTCCATACTGTTATTTTAATTATATTTATACTGCTATCAGAGAATGTGATGCTCTGAATGGTAATGTTGTTTATATGTGGGCTTTATACAGTATGTTTGTATAGAGTGTACATTAACATTTATTTGTTCAAATTGCAGATCCCTTAACTGGAGCAAACTCTCCGTTTCTGAAATGCTAATGATGCCAACACAGAAAATAAATTATCTGCCAAGAAGTGGTAAGTCCTGAAATATCTTGACTATCTACAAGAAACCAAATGTTTTGCATATCTAGTTACACACATATTAGCAAGTACACAAAAAGTCATCAAATGTTTTTTTTGTTTTTGAAGCAATTATATTAAATGATTTCTTCTCTTTAGAGCCTCGTTCAAGTTTGGCACAGCAGCAGGACCGCCCCTCCTCAGCTCAGAGGTTTTCGGTTTCAGACAAACACAGCCAAAAGCAGCTCCATAGTGAACTTACCCAGCGCCTGCAGCAGGTCCTCGGGGAGAGTAACCAGGACCCTGCACCACAGGAGCCTGCACAGAGGAAGATGTCTGATATTAAAGACCATGCCAAAGGCAGACGCACTGCAGACCCGAGTGCTTCAACGCTGTGTGGTCCCAAAGAGCAGCAGGCCCACAAAAATAGCCTGGCCAAAGGGAAGAGCAAACACCAGATGTCCTTGCAGGAAGATGCCGCTCCAGTCAAAGCTCCAGCCAAGGCTCCGATCAAGGCCTCCACAGCCAAAGCTGTGCAGAAGAGAGATCCATCGAATGTTAAGGATAAAACCAGTAACGCCCTTTCAAGCAAAGAGAAGGTATACATTCTGTGTAAGTTTGCTGTTTGTTCTAATGTAGTGTATTGTGATCTCACACCTACTGTTTCCATGCAGAGGGATGCAGAGGTCACAGGCAGCATGGTGAAGCTCATCTCTAGCCGTTATGAGATGACCCCCAAATCTTCAGTAAAAGAAACTGCAGCAACAATCCCTAAGAGCTGGATCCCTTCTGTTGTCAACAGGTACATTTCATTTTTTTAAATTACTTTACATTACATTACATTACATTATCACAAAACATAAAATATATATATATATTTTTTTATTATTATTAAACTGTGAATAATGTATTCACTCAAATAAATACAAAATATAATAAAATAAACATTAAGGTGCAGCATTTCGATGAACTGAAATAATCTGTATTTGAACTGGACTGTACTAGTACCTAAGCAGCCAGTTTGACATTATGACTTGCTTGTCATTGTATTTTCATGTTTTTAAATTTTTTTTTTTAACTTGTCCACATTGCTTGCTGAAAGGGCAGATCTGCTGGCACTAATGTCTCCTGCTGTGGAGAACACCCTCTCGCTAGGGACAGAGGTAGCAGATACAGCCAAGTAGCGCTTTGCTAATATGGCAACATAAGGATATTTGGCGTTTGTAATAGCTTTGGCTCGGTCTGAACTTTTTGCGAGTGATGGAGGCTTAAATACTAGCGGGAGTTGGGTTTGCACTTCAGTCTTTTTTCTTTTGGTACCGGTGATATTCACGTTCGGGTGATGCCTTTTCAAATGAGTGTGCAAATTTGATGTATTGCCAGCCGTTTAACCAATTTTAGTTGAACAATGCCGACAAACAGCTTTGGTTCGGTCCACCTGTCTTTGTCAGTCATCCTTGTAAGTAACTGCGAAACCAAAATGTTCCCAAACCGGAGACTTCAATGATGCTGGAGGATTTTCGAGCTCAACTTTCTCTGCGTTCGCCATTTCAACAGTTCCTCAAATTACTGACTACATTTGAACGCATCCCTGTGACCAGCTCTCATAGTATGCCTCTTGTCCAATGAAATGACTTGGTCGCTCTATGACGCGTTGAACCCAATGTGAGCAAATTACTCTGAATGCTGCGACGCAGCACCTGAGATTACTTCCAAAAAGTTGTTCACTTTCTCAATTTTTTACGTTTAACGTTATATTCGTTATATCTGCCCTTCACTTCAGTACACACGTGTACCGAACCGAAGGGCAGATACCGTTACACCCCTAGTATCCTCCTGATGTTGTAAAGCGTGTATCTGCAGCAGCGATGTTTGCAGTGAAGGACAGTTTGTTATCTAGGGTTAATTAAATGAACAAATCACTGTCATAACTTTGCTGCTTATGGAATGTGTTTTTGTTACAGGCCTATCTTCAATATGAGCTGGTTATTGACTGCTAAAGTAAGGGATCATTACTTCATCAATGGTGAGGAGTTCCATTAAGTGCTGCTTGATTGAATAAAGATGATCTTTATCTACTATAGAAGGACGAGTCTGGAACTGTAAGCCTCATGAAGTCCCACAGCAAAACCACAACAAATACTACTCGGTAATTTGATTCAATACTTTAGATACATTAAGTCATTTCTGTGGCTTTCAGTGCATTTAAGAATGTAATAATGCCTTTTTTTGTGTTGCACAGAAAGGATGTTTTTGCATTCAACACTGATGCACCATTGAGTGCTGGGGTAAACAAATGATTCATGTTAATTATTTGATATCTTGAAAAACCTGCATCAACCGTCAGTTGAACCCAGATATAATGCATCCAGTATATCTGGGTACTTGTCACTTTAATGCTTAAAGTCCTTGTTATTGTTCTTTAGGGAAATAACAAAACCCTCTCCAGCACGTCTTTCATATCAAGGAGGTAGGTCTGCCAGATGAGAATGGACTCGTGCTACAGTTAAGATTTGTTATTAACAACTGTCTCATTTATATTCCCAATATCTATTGACAGTGGCATCCAGGACTCATCAGCACTGCCCAGTACAACCAAGAAAGCAGAACCTGTGGCAAAAGTATACTTTCATTTTACTGTAGTATTAGTATATTATATTAGCTATAAAAAGTTGATGGTAGAGACACGACATGCTTGGTTTATTTGTGATTGTATACCTTTACACTTCTTTTTAGGCAAATATTTCTGCGGTAATCACAAAATTGAAATACACCGTGGGCTTGCCAACAAACGTTCTTCCTCCCTGTCTCTCTCTCTCTATTTCTATCATTCTCCCTGTCTTCCACCACCTTGTGTGTTGCAGCAGAAGCGCCATGTTAAGAAGCATCTGTTCAGTGACACCGACACTGACTATGCCACGACAGATGTTAGCTGGCTAAAGGAATCAAACCGGAAACCCAAACCCAAAGTTACCACATACTCCAGGCAGGCGCCGGTCAAACCTAAAGCGGTGTCTCTTCATACTCCATGTAGGCCTTTACAGCCACACATTCACGCTGCTCTTAACTTGGAATTTATTACATTAAGACTAACTTTTAATATTTGAAGACTTTGTATATGTTTTCCACTTTTTAGAATGAGTATTTTCATATAAAAAGGGTTTTCTTTCATTACAGATGAATCACCAGGTTTACCCCTACCCTCTAAACAACCTGTCAAGGGCACTTCCAAACTGAAAAAGGTAAGCCAGTATTGTTTTTGATTCGGTTTTCAAAGGTACATTGTGTAGGATTTGGCAGCAACTAGCATTCAATCAAGTCATGCACTATCCCTTTCAGCCACAGTATGCCATTGTTGTTTAATCAGCAGAAGCCTGAGGTTATCAAGAGAGTGGAGCAGCGGAAAAAGACATCGAAGCCTCTAGCAGCAGCAGCAGCACCCAAAGCAGCAGCAGCAGCACCCAAAGCAGCAGCAGCAGCACCCAAAGCAGCAGCAGCACCCAAAGCAGCAGCAGCAGCACCCAAAGCAGCAGCAGCACCCAAAGCAGCAGCAGCAGCACCCAAAGCATCAGCAGCAGCACCTGAAGCAGTAGCAGCAGCACCCGAAGCAGCAGTAGCAGCAGCAGCACCCAGCAGAGCTCAAGCAGCAGGCAGGAGGCCCAGGAGAACTGCAGCCATCTCTACCAAGAGCTACAGGGATCCAGACACTGATGACAGCCAGTCAGAGGCAGAGAAACCTCTGTCTCCCGAGGCAAACACATTTCCATATATATTACTTTCATTTCCATTTTCACATTTAGTACATTTCATCCTCTTTTGAAATATTACTGAACAAATAACATCATTTGTGTTCTAATAGAGTAATGCGTGTGACTAGGTTTGACCTGATCAGAACATTTGATTTCCAAGTATTGTGGATCTGCCAAAATCAATTGCCAGTTTGGAATCTTGTTAATTAAAGGAATGCAACAGACCAGTAGTATTAAACTCGTTAGGCATTACAATGAAGCCTACGTCTTAACTCCAAATAATACATCCATTAATGAGCCCATCTTTGATCCAGTCTAAGCAGTTACATCCCTTGTTACCCAGTAACATTGATAAGACATTTGTTTCAATATTTGGTGTTTTATCCTTAACAAACACATGCTAGGTGTTACTTTTTTAAAGGAAAATATGTGAAAATACTAACAAACATTTTGTAGTTGTAGTAGTAGAAGTAGTAGTAATAGATGCATAAAGTTGTTCCTCATCCCACGCACACAAGCAAAACCACCAGGAGCCATTGGGAGCACACAGTCGACTGTTTTGCACCTAATGTAAATGTATTTTAGAAAGAAGGCAGTTAATTAGAGTGCTGTTGCAAATAGACTGAAATCATACTGTCTTTGTTCCCATAATAATAGTACTCCTCCACTAATCATCTGGAGAAAGCTGAGAAAACCCACAACGCTGCCCAAGTGAAGAAGAAAAGGACTGCCAGCAAACAACCAACCAAAAGCTACAGGAAGCCAGAAAGCAGCGAATCAGAGTCGGAGCTCTTGGCACTGCAGCCACCCAATTCCAAGGTAGAGGTCGTTGGGTTGATGTGTCATGTTGTGATCAAGCTATATCTATTTTGCATGGCATAAAGCACCTGTCTGAATATACAGTATATATATGAAATCATATTTGTATTACCACATGGTAACTCTTTGCTTTATGTGACTTTAATTTGTATTTGATTAAAGCCCTAGCAAATATATCTAGTGGACATGTGTAAGGAGGCATCTATCTTTCTAGAATGATTCAAGAGTCACGTTAGCACTCAAAGTGAACGCAGACGGATGTAGCTGTTCTCCAGGCATCTTAAAGTTAGAGCTTGTGTTTTTGAAAGAAAGTAATACACTGGCAGGAAAATAAAAAGGGCCTGAACACAATTAGTATATTGGCAGACAATGACCAAGAAAGGTTCGGCCACGGGCAATCTTTTTTTTCAGAAATCCACACAGACGTACTCTCACACTACTCTGAGATCTGTAGGCTTAACAAATCTGTTTAGCCTGATGGCGCTGCATTAATAGTAGACTGTTGCAGAATATTTCCCATCCCTTTTTGGGTTTTCTGCCAACAGAAACATATTGAAGGCCAGCAGGGGAAGGTGGAGAAGAGCCGTTTAGAGGTTCCAGAGGTGAAGAAGAGAAAAAACACCTCCTCTGAGCAATCCACAGATACACACCAGAGACTGGACAGCAACAAGCAGTCAGATCTGAAAAAGCCATCTGGTTCGAAGGTGGGAGCCCAGCTCTATTTGAGTAATTTCAGCGTGCTTTTTGAAAAGTATAAGGCTATATAAATAAAAACATGCTTTACATTTTTCATCAATTGCTAGTAAAAGCATTAAAAACATTCCAAAAGCTGTTTCAACTCAAATGTAAGCACATAGCTGTATATTTTTATGTATAGCAAATGGTGAAAAATATCAAGATGTTACTTTTTAACTCTGAAGCTGCGAATAAGCCACAGTCTTGAACTTGAACATTCACATTGTGGTTCAGAATGGCTTTCATGCTTGTTGACATATAACAGAGACACTTTGCTTTTCAGGAGTTGCGGCCTAAGAATGTTCTTCCGGAAACTCCGAAGTTTAACAAGAAAGATTACGCCCATGCCAAAGATCAGATGAATGGAGTGAAGGATTCCTGGGCGGCCCGCCAGACCTCTTTCTGTCCGTCCCCTCCTCTGATCGAGAGGATGAGATGTAAGAGTGGAAAGTTACTCACCAAAAGTTAGATAACAGTCATTTGACATCAGCCTGTGTCATAGTGATTCAAATGATAAGCTAACTCCATCACAGTAGCCATATATTACTGATACTTCTGGAACTAGTTTCCCTTTATTTAAGTATTGTATAGCTATATAGTGTTTGGTTTTCACTCAGTGTAGCCATGCTGCATGTTTCCTTAACCAGCTCAAACCTTTGGAGATGATTCACCTGGTGGGGGGGGGGCTGACTTCGTCTCAGTTAAGTCCCCATGTGGCCTTAAAGTTAAGCCCTGTGGTCAAAAAAGAAAAGAAAAATCAGTTTACATTTTAAGACAAGAAGACAGATTTGAATTTCTGAAGGTCCGAACACATATTTAAAAATATTTCTGACCCAAAACCCCAACGTTTTGCACCTATTGTATTTAAGAGATTTGCTTTGCCTGTTTCAGTCATGAGATATTTTGTGTTAAGCTCTGAAAAATGTGCAAAACATAATGTGTGTACTGGAAGATGTTCCCACTAGAGGAATTTGTACTTTTATCTTTATAGAGAAAGATTTAAAACAGTTACATAAATGACCGTATTGCTCTCCAACCTTTTAACTGTAAATTGATATGAAGAAAAGCATGTATATATTGACCTTATACTCTCTGTCCAACTTCTGAGGCCAGCTGCTTGAACATCTGTGTTTACTTTGGTCCCTCACAGCTGCCGAGAGGTCAGCCCCAACCTTCGGTTTGACCTGCTCCCCTCTCCTCACCCCGTTGGGATCCCCACTCCCTGCCTCCCCTGAGCCTCCCTGCGAGGACACCCCCTCGCCAATCCTGCTGCTTCCCAAACCTCGCTCTACACTCAGCAGTAAAGGGACCTTCAGGCTCTCCTCTTTCTGCAGCGTGGATAAGAAGCACAGATCATCCAAGACTCACTCGGTCCAGTCTGTACGCTCTCTCTCTTCACTCAGCCGCAAAGGTCAAACAACCAAAGGTCAAACAACCAAAGGTCAAACCCCCGCTGCAGGTTTCCCCATTGGACCTCGTGCAGCAGAGGTAAAACAGCACCTCTCTGACACCTTATGGAGGTCACATGGCCGTATATGTATTTCGTGTTCAAGTTGACAATTACATTTTTAACGTGGCATAATACCACATTCTCACTTTCACCCAAATGATATAAACAGTAGCTGCGCAGTGTAGCAAAGAAAATGTACTATAAGTCATTCTCAACTGGACTTATTATCTTTTCAGAATTTCAACTACAAACGTCTTATTCATCAGTTGCGATGACTGCTGGGTTTTCTTGGTAGTTAACATCTTGGAGTGATTCAAAGACACACCTTTACACTACATAGAAGTTATTTACGTTATGCCACAGTCACGTGAGATTCACGAGAGTGACTTGAATGGAGGTGTGAATTATTACATAGCTTGAGGCCTTCAAAACCAAGAATTCAAGTGAGTATGACTATGACCTAAGCATTGCTTAGAGAACTGACAGCCGCTCTCAGGGGGTGGATGTGTGTAACCATTAGTCTGAAGTGGCTATTTAAGAGTTTCAACTTCCCCAGATAAATACATTAAGTAATTAAGGATCAAATGGTGGAATTGCACATGATGATCCGAATGATTAAGTTGCATGATTAAAAGGACCTATTTAACTCCAGACAGAGCGGATAATAGCACTGCAACACTTCATCTGTGCCTCTTAATGCGTTGCTGGAAATGTCTGTTCTGTCCCTGATCTCTGACAGCCATGGTGATTAGACACCCACTAAGTGAGTGTCCATACTCCTTCTTGTCCATCATTTTCTCATCACTTTCTGTCCCTCTTCATTCTTTTATTTGTTTCCAGATAAGTTCAATCCAGCAGAGTCTGCACTCAGCGCCTCCATCGCCTTTGTCTCCGTCCGCTCGGCCCCTGTTGACATCCACCTTCCTCGAGCAGGAGAAGCCCCCCATGTCTTCTCCTCCTCAGTCTACGATCCCTGAAGTCACCGTCAGCAGCCGTTATGGCTTCAGTAAAATGTCTTCAGTATCCTGGGTTTCCAGCCAGTCGTCCACTAAGTCATCAGTACTCACCAGCCGAGTTAAGGAGAGCCCCGATGACAGCCTGGCTGTGTCTCATAAAAGAGAGGTATTGCTTTACCACACTTCATGTTTTATGATCGCTTGATTCTAATTAGATGGATACATGGACTCACTGATAACAGCAATGAAAGTCCACTGACTGCTATTGTGATTTTGAATAGTTTTAACCAGTTTAACAAATGGCTTTTGCATTACTGTCCATCCTGACAGAAAACACCATCTTCAGACCGAGAACGAAACTCTGAGCAGCTTCGTATCTCAGGTAAAATACCATTTGTGTTTAACTTTTTGTTGTATTATCCAGTTGCTACATACTAACCTCTCAGCTAGGTCCCCCCCACGCGTAAACGCCAACGTTTTAATTCAGTATAAAATGACATCTTATTAAATAGAGGATACGTCCCCTCCTGACCCAGAAAGCGATGCAGCTTCAGGTCCAGGTCATCTCACGCCTAGACTATCTGGCTGGTCTACCTGCATGTGCCCTCCGACCTCTGCAGCTTATCCAGAATGCAGCAGCTCGTCTGGTCTTCAACCTTCCTAAATTCTCCCACACCACACCGCTCCTCCGCTCCCTTCACTGGCTTCCACTAACTGCTCCACTTCAAGACACTGGTACTTGTGTACCATGCTGTGAATGGTTCTGGCCCTTCCTACATCCAGGATATGGTTAAACCATACACCCCAGTATGTGCACTCTGCTCTGCATCAGCCAAACGGCTCGCTGCACCCTCACTGCGAGGGGGACCCAAGTTTCCATCAACAAAAACACATCGGTTTGCTATCCTGGCTCCAAAATGTTGGAATGAGCTCCCCATTGACATCAGGACAGCAGACTCAACTTCGAGCAATTTCTGTTTTCTTCTAGTTTGTATCTTCTTGGTCGAATGCACTTATTGTAAGTCGCTTTGGATAAAAGTGTCAGCTAAATGCAATGTAATAGTCGTTATGGTAATGTGTTCCCTCTAATGAGGCTCCACGGTCAAATGAGAGTCTGCTTAAGAGGAAACCCCTGTGTTCTGAAACAGTTGTATACCGGGTCATTGGTTATAACAGATGGTTCTTTTTACAGGACCAGGTCGCAAGCGCCACATCTCATCGTCGAGTGATTCTGAGGAAGATGAGAAGGAAGAGAAGAAAAAAAGCAGGATCAGAGGGCAGCGTTCTCCTCGGATGAAACCGAGGAAGTTGTTCAAGTCCTGTAAGACGTATTCTTGACTGCCAGTGAGCCGCTGTAAAGTACATTTATTTTTTATTTCAGGCAGGAATAACATTTCCTACATTTCCTGGTAGAGGAACTTTTATTAAGGAATCAGTGCGTCTTGTCTGTCGAATATAAGTGCACATGCAAACCTGAAAAACATGAGTCACTCAAAGTTATTTTTGTGAAACTTAGTTATTAAGTTAAGGCCTCTTGATGGTACACATATTTCCTCATCGTTTCAACCAGACCTCATGGTCAGGTAATTTAGACGAAAGGGAATGTAGTCAAAGGATAATGCTTTCAAAGGTATCAAGGAAAGAATACAGAAGTGTATCAGAGAGAATAGGACTGTGAATAAAAGCACTCATGGCACAGGTACCCTAAATACTTCTGGGCGTGTTGTCCTGTGTTCTCTGAGACTGCCAGAAATCACAAAGCTGTTTTAAAATAAGATGTAATACTTACATTTAAAATACAATTTTAGATGTTACATTATACAACATATAACAATAGTAGAGTAGACAAAAAAAGCTCTTTGAAAATAGTTGTGTTTTCCTGGCCTTCTTTTTTGGTTTTAGAAGAACACACCGATTGCAACCTGTATATTTAAAATCATATATATTTATTTTGTTGGGATGTTCACTCTAACCGATCAGTGTCTGCCTGTTACCTTTAGTCACTGGGATGTCTGCTGACGCTGAGGTGAGCCACGTGATGTCTTCTTCCCACACAATGAGCTCCAGTCACTGCTGGGAGGCCGAGAGGGGAGACGGAGACATGGAGGAGGAGGACTGCGACTTACCAAACCTGGCTGTGAACCAGAGCAGCATGTTCCAGCAGTTCAGCAACGACCTGAAGAATAAGTTCAAGGTTGGACACACACACACACACACACACACACACACACACACACACACACACACACACACACACACACACACACACACACACAGGACAAACGTATAAATAGTCCAGAGGGGAGAAAGAATATGCCACAGTAACTGCACTACTGACGTCTGCATTATGTAGTTCCCCTTTTCCTGGAGGAATTTCAGAAGGTACTTAACACCACTAATTCAAATATTTAACCAGGTAAGGCCCATTGAAATTAACTTTACAAGAGAGAACTGGCTGACAAAAACACACAGATAAAGAGACAGAATACACAAAAGGAGAGATGAAATGAAAGCATAAAGAAAGCCTGAGAATGCAAAACTAAAAGGTATTGTGTGGGACAAAGACCAACAGAACAAGAGTAATCTTATAGTAATGAGACAGAACTTAACAATTGGAATGAACCTCAGGGAGGCATAATAAGCTGTGTGATCCGTATTAAAACTCTGAGCTATGCATATACAAAAGATCTCCATAGTCCAACACAGGTTAAACAAAAACTGGCAGCAACAAGTAACTTTTTACCTTGAAAGAAAAACCAATTTAACATAAATAAAAGAAGATGACTGTGTGTGTTTTAGAAAGCAGTGACTGAGCTTGAAATATATCCCAGCACTTGTTATCTCTTGTCAGCTCTGCTTTCTTAATCCTGAAATATGTTTGTTTTCAGAACCGTCACAACATGGTGGAGATTTACAACAAGCAGACTCTGAAGACCGTCCAGCAGCACGTCTCCTCCCTCAACACGCAGGTCACCAAGCACAGGTCAGTTAGTATGTGGTTACTGTTGAATAACTAACATTTGCCTGTACTGTTCATATTGGCTAATCAGGGCCGGCCCTAGACTTTTGGGGGCCCTAAGCGAGCTTTGGCTTGGGCCACTCTAGCGCGTTCTCACTACACACAACACGGAACCAACTTTTGTCTTATGATGTTAGCATAAGCACACATATTGTATAAATAAACATGTAAACACCGTGGACCTAACCTCCTCTAGGGGGGTCCCGGGGCAAGCT